TAGCGAGTTAACAACCGGTTAGTAACTGAATGAATTTACCATTTCTACATTTGAAGAGTTTAATAAGAGTAGATAAGCTGTCATAAGAGCCCACGAGACTTATTGAAGCAATTAATGAAGGGAAAACAAAAAATCATGAGTACTCGAAAAAAAACCACCTCGTTATCTCTATGTGATTATGGCAAAACGTCAGAGACCATCGTGACTAATGAAACATAGCTAATCAGATATGCTTTTATCTAAAGAGAAGACGTTCACGTTTTTAGGTAGAAACGTGAGAATGAGCATGTAACTACGAAGGAATGAAGTAAAATTCAAGCGAAAGGCCCCCGAATGTCAAAGAAAGTGCTTAAAATTCAAGCGAAAGGCCCACGAATGTCAAAGAAAGTGCTAAGTACAAAATTGAAATAGTTGTTATGATTCATCACTTTCACCACAAAATCTTAAGAGTCGACAGCACCCCCATTCAAGGTAATCGAAAGTTAAAAAGTGTTTGACCCCCTAAAGCTCCACGAACTCAGGAGGACACTTCCGTCACTATGCGTGCCTGCTTTTAGAATTTTTATCAAAGAGTTGGTAAAGCGAAGACACTAAGCAGAAATTCACCAACTTTCTCATCTTCGAGCTCTTCTCAGGGAGAAACATTTCAGAACTAGAAATCAGAAAAATAGCCCAAGAATAGCAAATTAAGCTAAGCGTCAAATATATCTAGAGAAATGGCGATAATATTATGCAGTAGCAAAAACTATCAAAAGTGAAAGATATTGTTTGACAAATAAATAATGTTAAAAAAACACTTTCGGTCAAATTCGTGCTCCTGTAAAGGAATAATTCATATAGATCTTTTTAGTGCTTGAAATAATCGATAGTTAATTCTATGGAAATCCCAAATATACCTATTTTCACATTGCATTCACCAGCTTCTAATAGCTAAGGAAAAAAAAAACAAAAATTCAAGAAAGTATCTTTGTGATGATCAACTGCATTATCGCAACTATGACTTTCACATACAGCTGATCTTTAACTACAAATATAAGATTGGTAAGATTGGTAACATTGATTGGAG